CGCAGTGGTAGCACCTCTTGTGCCAGAAGATGCACTTTATAATTGGGCACAACCAACAGCTGACAACCTGGCCACCGCCAATGTTGTGCCCCAAATACAAGCGAAGACATTCCAGATCACCAACAACTTGCTGCATCTTTTGTAGAACAAGGGATTGTTCTCCGGGTCACACATTGAAGACCCTCAACAACATCTTAATTTCTTTTCGTCAATTTGTGTGACCCAAAGGCAGCCAAATATGACCCCAGAAGCCATCAAGCTGTTACTGTTCCTGTTCTCTGTGACTGGAGAAGCTCAGACTTGGCTAAATTCGCTCCCAATAAACTCCATTGCCACTTGGGAGGAATTAGTCAAACAGTTCTTGAACAAGTTTTACCCGCCCAACAAGACTGCAAGACAGATTGATGAGATATTACAGTTCAAGCAGCATCCCACTGAGACCTTGCAGGAAACTTGGGAAAGATTCAAAGGGATGCTAGTGAAATGTCCCCACCATGGTATACCAGACCAGATGCTCGGACAGAGATTCTACATGGGATTAGCAAACAATCTAAAGGCCAATGTAGATGCTTCAGCTGGGGGTGCATTCCTGAGCAAGACATTCACAGAGTGTAAATCCTTCTTGACAAGATGGCTCAGAATTCAGGATGGATGACGAGAGGTACAACCTTGGCACCAATAGTGCATTGAGTTCCCCTTGACCCAAATAATTCACATGCAGAGAACATAGCCACACTCATGACTCAGATGAGTATATTGACAAAGAAGATTGATGAGATGGGTACAAAGAAAGTGCATATTGTTGACACGACAAATGGAGGACCGTGTACACCTTGCATTAATCAGTCTTATGTGTGTTCATGGAGTGGAGAAGGTGACAACCAAGGGTTAAGAGAGGATATGAATTATGTCAACAATTTTCGGGGTCAGAGACAAGGAGGACAACAATGGAGACCAGCACCCAATCAGTAGTATACACCGAACATGCCACAACATGGGTTATGCAGCCCCAAGGCCAAATGGTACCATATCAGAGACAACAGGGCTATCCACAGCAGAACCAGCAACAGTTGGCATATCAGCCACCTCATCAGCAACAGGACAACAACATGGTAGAAATTAGGGGTATGCTGCAACAGCTTATTGGAACAAATGGTAAGATACAGGAAAAATTGGCAGCGCATGACTCAGCAATTAAAGGTATTGAAACTCAACTGGGGCAGCTGTCCATGGCCTTGAATAACCGCCCCCAGGGAACATTGCCAGCCGACACAAACATTAACCCCAAAGAGCAAAACCCGAATCAGCTGATGGCAGTAAGCCTCCGGAATGGGAGACATTTAGACAAGGAGCAAGAAGTTGCTCAATCCAAAAGAGAAACTACACCAGTCGCCCCAGTTCTAGTAGAGATAGATGAATCAGCAGATCTTACTGAAGTGGTGGTTGAACAGGTTCAGGTTGATAAGGGCAAGGCTCAAGAGAGTGAACAAGCTGCAAAACAGGTGGTACCACTTGTGCCACAAAACCCCAAAAAAGAGAAGCCAGCAAGCAGTGAACAAAGGGTGATACCTGCACCATTTCCTCGGAGATTAGCAAAACAAAAGAAAGAAGATCAATACAGGAAGTTCATGGAGATGCTTCGTCAAGTTCAATTGAATATTCCTCTGATGGATGCTTTGAGGGAAATGACAAGCTATGCAAAGATGATGAAGGACCTAATGTCATCAAAATTTGATTTTCAGGACCTATCGACAGTAACTCTGACACAGACCTACAGTGTAGTAGTGACAAGACCCATGGCTCAAAAGATGTCTGATCCAGGTAGCTTCACTATTCCATGTACTATTGGGAGTTATGCTTTTGCAAGAACATTGTGTGACTTAGGAGCCAGCATAAACTTGATGCCTTTGGCAATATACACAAAATTGGGCATTGGCAGAGCTAGACCGACTTCGATGCTGTTGCAGCTGGCTGACCGCACGGTCAAAAGGCCGACAGGGATTCTTGATGATGTGCTGGTACAAGTGGGAAAATTTGTATTCCCTGGAGACTTTGTTATTCTGGACTGCCAGGAAGATGAAGAGATACCTATTATTCTTGGGAGGCCATTCTTAGCCACCAGGAGAGCATTGATTGATTGTGAAACTGGGGAGTTAACAATGAGGTTGAACGATGAAGAAGTTATATTCAACGTTCAACAATCCATGAGGAGACCTAGTGAATATGCAAATTGCTAATTAGTGGAAGCTGTGGATGTAATCCTGCATGACGATGATGAGATCCTGAATGCTAAAGATCCATTGGGAGCTTGCTTGACAAATTTAGAGGAGATGGATGGTGAAGGGTTGGCAGAGTGGGTAATGGCACTCGAAAGCCAAGGATTCTGGAAGAGGGAACCTCAGTTCGAGTCCCTTGAGTTAGAAAAGAGAACTAAACCACCTGCAAAACCATCAATAGAGGAACCACCACAGTTGGAGCTGAAGCCGCTTCAAGCCCACCTCAGGTATGCTTTCTTGGGTCCCAATTCTACATTGCCTGTTATTATATCATCTGGTTTGTTAGCTGTGTAGGTAGAACAATTACTGCAGGTGTTGCAGGAATGCAAAACTGCCATTGGTTGGACCATGGCAGACATAAAGGGTATCAGCCCGGCCTTCTGCATGCACAAGATTCGTCTGGAAGAAGGGCACAAACCTTCCAGGGAACATCAATGAAGGTTGAACCCGAATATGAAGGAGGTAGTGAAAAAGGAGGTAATCAAGTGGCTGGACGCGGGCATTATCTTTCCCATCTCTGACAACAATTGGGTAAGCCCCGTCTAGTGCGTACCGAAAAAGGGTGGAATGACAGTTTTGCAAAATGAGAAGAACGAGTTTATCTCAACTTGTACAGTCACAGGGTGGCGGATTTGGATGGACTACGGGAAATTAAACGCAGCTACTCGAAAGGACCATTCCCCTTTACCCTTCATTGACCAGATGTTGGACAGGAAAGCTGGGCGGTCCCATTTTTGCTTCTTGGACGGATACTCGGGGTGCAATCAGATCTCAATAGCCCCGGAAGATAGAGAGAAAACGTCCTTCACATATCCGTATGGCATCTTTGCCTTTCGGAGAATGCCCTTTTGGACTTTGCAACGCACCAGCCACATTCCAGCGGTGTATGCTAGCTATCTTCACTGACATGGTCGAAGACATTATGGAGGTGTTTATGGATGATTTCTCCGTGGTAGGGGATTCATTCGAAGATTGTCTTCACAACCTTAAGAGAGTGCTCAAACGATATGTGGAGACAAATTTGGTGCTGAACTGGGAGAAGTGCCATTTTATGGTACAAAAAGGCATAGTGTTGGGGCATAGAGTGTCCAAAAAGGGAATTGAAGTAGACCATGCAAAAGTTGAGGTGATTGAGAAGCTCCCAGCACCCACTTCAGTGAAAGAAGTGAGAAGCTTCCTTGGGCACGCCGGGTTCTACAGGCGGTTCATCAAGGATTTTTCAAAAATTGCTAACCCCTTATGTAAGCTGCTTGAAAAAGACCAGCATTTTGTGTTTTCTGATGATTGCAGGCTAGCATTTGAGGAGCTGAAGAACAGATTGGTGACTGCACCCATCATTGTTGCACCCAACTGGGAACAACCATTCGAACTGATGTGCGACGCCAGTGATTATGCTATAGGAGCGGTTTTGGGGCAGCGCAAGGAGAAAATAATGCACCCAATTTACCATGCAAGCAGCACGCTTAGTGGTGCAAAACTGAACTACACTGTGACAGAAAAGGAAATGCTCGCTGTAGTGTTTGCCTTCGACAAATTCAGATCATATCTTATTGGTTCGAAAGTTATTGTTTATACTGACCATGCAGCCATTAGGTACTTGATAGCAAAGAAGGATTCAAAGCCCCGCTTGATTCGCTGGGTTCTGTTGCTACAAGAATTTGACCTGGAGATTCGTGATCGAAAGGGGAGTACCATTCAAGTAGCAGACCACCTCTCGAGGTTGGAAGGGGTAGAGAAGAGAACAGAGGTTGAAGATATCATTGAGACATTCCCGGATGAGAAATTACTTGCGATGACAATGGAGGAGGCACCATGGTATGTTGATATTGCTAATTACTTAGCATGTGGTATTGTACCTCATGACCTTTCCTCAATTTAAAAGAAGAAATTTTTTCGTGATTGTCGTGCATATTATTGGGATGAACCCCTGTTGTTTAAAATATGTATTGATAACATGATCCGGCGGTGTATCCCCAAACAAGATCAACCCTCTATTTTGCAGGCCTGCCATGCTTCACCTTATGGTGGACACTTTGGAGGAATTTGGATAGCAGCAAAGGTGCTAGAATCAGGCCTGTATTGGCCTACATTGTTCAAGGATGCCCGTGCTTGGGTCAAAAGCTATGATGAATGTCAAAGGACGGACAACATATCCCGTCGGCATGAGATTGTAATGACCACAATCCAAGATGTGGAGGCGTTTGACATGTGGGGGATCGACTTCATGGGGCCATTTGTCAACTCATACGGTAACAAGTATATACTGGTTACCATTGACTATGTCTCTAAGTGGGCCGAAGCAGTTGCTCTCCCAACCAATGATGCGAAAGGGGTGACCAGTTTCCTCAAGAAAAACATCTTCACACGTTTTGGTACCCCCGAGCCATAATCAGTGATGGTGACTCTCATTTTTGCAATAGAGCGTTTGCACGCTTGTTGGAGAAGTATGGAGTTCGCCACAAGGTAGCTTCACCCTACCACCCACAAACAAACGGGCAAGTAGAAGTGTCCAATAGAGAAATCAAAAGTGTCCTCTCAAAAACAGTGAATGCAACAAGAACTTATTGGGCAAGGAAGCTGGATAATGCATTGTGGGCATACCGCACAGCCTTCAAAACTCCAATTGGTATGTCACTATACAAGTTGGTATTTGGAAAGGCATGCCACCTTCCAGTTGAGCTAGAACACAAAGCACTGTGGGAATTGCGGCAACTGAACTTAAACATGGAGACAACGGGCACCAACAGAGTTAATGGGTTGCATGAGCTTGAGGAATTCCAATTCCAGGCATTCGAGAGTGCTAGACTATATAAAGAAAGGATGAAACCGATGCATGACAAGCATATCTTGGATCGGAACTTCAAACCCGGAGAGATAGTGCTGCTATATAACTCAAGATTGAGGTTGTTCACGGGTAAGTTAAAGTCCCGATGGTCAGGACCGTTTAGAGTAGTGCAAATGTTCTCAAGTGGAGCTGTGGAGATCGAATCTGAAGATGGGACGAACAAGTTCACAGTGAATGGAAAGAGGTTGAAACATTACCTTGGAATGACTGAAGAAAAAGGGGACAGCATAGTGATAAAGTTGGAAGATCCCCAGTACACAAATGAGGAGTAAAGATATGAGCCTGCGTCGTGCCGCGACGTTAAATCAGGCGCTGCGTGGGAGGCAACCCATGTTTTCTTTTGTTTCTTTTTTTTTTCTTTTGTTTGTTATTGTACCAGATGTGTAGGAGAGTAACACTCTTATATAAAAAATAAAAATAAAAATAAAAAGCTCGTCACCGCGACCGGGGTGAATGACAAGCACTCTGTTTTGGAGTGCTCTGTCCACCGCGGCCGGGGTGGGACCGCGACGCGACCGCGGTGAAACGCAACCATTCTGTTTTGCTCCCCCTTCTTCACGACGGCTGCGGTGGGACCGCGGTGAAACGCGAACTTCGGCGCCCAGGTAAGTGACTTACATTTCTTTTATTTTCTTTTTTTTCTCCTATCAACCCTAACCCACGCCCTTTCTTCTTCTTCTTCTTCTTCTTCTTCTTCTTCACATCTCTCACACACCCACTTCTCTCCCACACACACCCACACACTTCCAACTCTCTCTTCTCCAACTTCGATTACTCTCTCCTTCTACAAGAACCAGGTATGTCAAGCTTTCCACCTCTCTTCTTGTACTTTTCTTATTTGTCAAGTTTA